GCGTCAGCTGTTAGCTGCTGCAGCTCAAACCCCAAAAGGCCCCCTCTGCAGCCACCCGTTTCTGTGTCTTCTTCTTCTTCCTCATCTGCTGCTGCTGCTGCTGCTGCTGCTGCTGNCTGCTGCTGCTGCTGCTGCTGCTGCTGCTGTTTTTGCTGCTGGCTCTACAGAAGCAGAAAGAGAAGCAAACTGCCAGGGGGCCTCCGACAGGTCTCCCTCCCAGTCGCTGCCTCGCCGCTGCTGCTGCTGCTGCTGCTGCTGCTGCTGCTGCTGCTGCTGCTGCTGCATGCAGCCCCCTCTCTCTCCCTGCTGCGGCGCTAGGGCCCCCAAACCCAGGATGTCTGCGGGGATGGGGAGGATGAGCCGTTCGAGCGACAAGCAGCTGAGGGGTGCAGCAGAGTCAGAGCTGCTGTTGCTGCTCTCTCCTGCTGCTGCTGCTGCTGCTGCTGCTGCTGCTGCTGTTGTTGTTGTGGCTGTTGCTGCTGCTGCTGGTAGTGCTGCGGGTTGTTCTGCTGCTGCTGCAGAGGAGTCGCTGTCGCTGCACCCAGCAGCAGCAGCAGATCGAGAAGCATCTGAGGCTGACCATCGGTTGCTTAGGGCTTTAGCAGCAGCAACTGCTGCTGCTGCTGCTGCTGCTGCTGCTGCTGCTTCATCTGGTGCGCCTAGCTGTACAGGCACCTGTTCAGTCGGTCTGCTCGAGCCGTTTTCACTACACTTTGCTGCTGCTGCTGCTGCTGCTGCTGCTGCTGCAGCAGGAGGAGGACTATGCTTCTGCTGCGTATGCTCTGCTGCAGCAGCAGCAGCAGCAGCAGTATCAGCAGCAGCAGGAAGCAGATAAGTGTGTTGATTCTGTTGCTGCTGCTGTTTGATTGCGAGGAGTAGTTGTTGTTGCTGTTGCTCTTGCTGCTGTTGCTGCTGCTGCTGTTGCTGCTGCCGTTCCTGCTGCTGCTGCTGCTGCTGCTGCTGCTGCTGCTGGGGCTTAACTGCAGCAGCAACAGCAGCAATCGACGACAGCAGCAGCGTCGGGCTCCCCTGCACCTCTGCAGGCGCCAG